CTGGCCAGGTTCTGGAACAGTACTGGCCAGGTTCTGGAACAGTAGTGGCCAGGTTCTGGTACAGTACTGGCCAGGTTCTGGAACAGTACTGGCCAGGTTCTGGAACAGTACTGACCAGGTTCTGGAACAGTACTGGCCAGGTTCTGGTTCTGGCCCAGGTTCCTGCCAATTCTGGAACCTGGTCCAGAACCTGGCCAGTAACTGGATTTTTTCACTAGGGTATTCACCCAATGCACCGGAAAAATATACAATGCACTCATTTCGAGGTATTTTTTTTTTTGTAAAAAAATAATTATATCATTCTGCAAGTAGTAAAACTTGAAATGTTTATTTACGTTATTCGATCATCTGAAACATGTGAATTAAATTAATCAAAACAAACGAATATTTGTTTCTAAAAATAATCTGAGTGATTTGTTTTTACTTCATCCAAGACGACCATCACCGATGACGAACTTAGTCTGTGCTTTCTTCGATAAATAACCCTGGAAATGAAATCACATTATTCACTTTAAAGAAGTCTAAACAAGAACAACTCAAAAGTAACGCATGGATACTTTAGGTTTTATATTTCTTTATTAAGGACATAGCCTTTCTTTTGACATACCTAACAACCATTCTATGTATATTCATGAATTCCATCTTTAAACATCACCTCTTATCATTATTACAGGTTTAATAAATGGTTATGTTGTGTCGAATTTGATACCGACAGGAAACTGTATATCAATTATATGTACGGTTATATTAATTTTGATTCGGTTCTTTACTAAGGAACATAGAACGCTCTGTTGTACCATTAGAGATTTAACCTCATTAAGCCCTTTGGGTTCGTCCCCTCATAAACTCGAATGCTAAAAAGAACTCTATTATGATAATAGTATCATGTTGACGAGAAACATAAGCAGGGTTAAAGATTGGCTCGCTTGGGCACCTAAACTATCAAAGCCAAGTTGGCTGACTCTCAAACTGTCATACTAAGCAACAAATGTCTGTAATCCTTACAAACTGACTAAGAAGGAATTTCCCTAAAAGTTACCTTTGCCATTACTTTAAATAAGACACATGGACAGACACAAACGAAGGAAGGATTGTACATGCAAGACCCCGTTTCTTTTTACACATTCAGTTGTTTGTGACTTCGTCAAGGGTGTGCTTTTTCAGTGAAACTATGCTGTGTAAAAACAAAGCCATCAAAACAAAAATCGATATGACCATATTATTACTTTGAACCTATGAGAGCAGTTAATTTGAACTAAGCAGCAACAAAAAGCTGTGATACCCATTGAGAACTGTCAAAAGTAGGATTGTTTACAGTTATGTTTATGGTTTTAATTTAATGAATAATTTGTGATACTGTGTGAATGTTTCATAGTTTTTTTTCTATTGTTTAGGCAGATGTAGAACATTATGGCTATGGTAGATGTGTTATACTACAGCAAACCGTAAATTTAAAGAACCAAATGTTATAAAAACTGTGTCCTCCCTCATTGCAAATGCAAAGCTTTAGTATAACTGCAATAAGCATTTTATACTTATATGCCAATCCCGAAGGTGACGAAGGATAGGTACTCTGATAGTTAAATTATAAAGGTAAAAGACAAAAAACAGATTTTATTTTTTAATGTTTATTTTACAATAGTTTCTTTAAAAAAATCGATGAAACAAGTACTTTTTTACATTGGTAACATTAACATTATTCATAATTATCACTTTAAATAACATCAGTCATGATAATGGACACTATATATATAATTAACATTGAATGCTAAATTTACTCGTTAAAAAAAATGTACAGTTTACAAGAGACAATACTGGGTTGGCAAAAGAAGAGCAGCTTTCCAACAACAGATTTTTACTGCTAACATCTCGATCACAAATAAATATTTTTTAAAAACCCTAAAGAAACCAGCTTCAGCAACAAGCTGTAGCATTGTTTGCAGTTCCCAACAAACAATTTTTTAGAGGCTGAACGGAAATAAACTATTTGTCACAGATCTTTAAAATCATTTAGGAAAACATACATATTTTCAATTCGGTATAACTGAAGCAGATTTTAATCACAATAATTATTTTAAAAGATGAACATTTTATGCTCTGAACAACATACTCAATTTTTGACGTTAGTTGTTGAATAAATACTGAATAAAATAACTTTCACATTTAAAATATCTTCCAAAAAATATGAGATGACAAAGGTACTAAAAGTCTTTTTTCTTGCAAGGTAACCCTGCTCTATCAAAGCTTCATCAACATCACCAGTGAGCAAATCGAGAAATCTTATTCAGGATTACTAATACCTAAACATATAAAAGAAATTAGCAAAATATATTTAATTTCTATGTACAAGGGCTATTCAAAGAGTAAGGAAAGTTTCTATCTAAGGCCGCTAGACGTGTGGCAATTGCTCTCTTTCAAGTTCAAACATGTTCGCCTTAAGTAAATGTTATTTAAGTAAATTGTGCTGCAATAATTGTACCTCAGACACTAGTCGTGAGATGCGGACTGTTGTTGGCCAAAATTTAAAACCTACTGCTTGTCGTCAAGTGGTCGAGATCACAGAGGCCAGAATTTTTTTAGAAAGGAATTTCAAAGCTTGTCTACCATTTAAAGTGCCTCAATTTGTTTCTTCTACAGTAGAACATCTTTAATCCGAGCCCCCTTAATCCGTAATTGTTTCTACTGTAATGCACAGTACTGTTTATTCACTTTGTTTACTAAGTGTATTAAATAAAGACTGTATTTTACATTATCAAGCATTTTTCACTTTTCCCGTAACAATTTTGATCCATTTTAGCCTAATTTTAACTATTGTTATGTAAAAACAACAATATGTTCTGTAATCCGAACTACCCCCGGTTCCAATTAGTTATGATTAAAGAGGTTCTACTGTATTGACTTTTTAATTTGTTCCAAAACTTCCCCTACTCTCTAAATAGCCTTAATAATAATAAATTACATTCTCAAGTATTTCCTGTACAAACAATCCTACCATTTTATTCATTGACCAAACTCAATACCAAACAGTGGAGATCAACTTACCTCAAAGGGTTTTAGTTTTCTTAGATTTATTGAATTTAATACATTAGAAAGTAATTAAAGGTTTTATTCTATGCATGATTTGAAAAATAGGCCTAAATACTTTCATAAAAACAACACATTTATACAACTTTCTACAAATGTCTTATACAGCTGGTCAACCCCTTACGCTACGACTACACACTTGGCGACTTGGCCACGACGACTTTATTTATTTACAGCCTGGCCACAGGAAAAGCCACACTTGAGCTACTTCTAGCTGTGTGATTGTTTTTTTTTAATGAGTAAGGAGGATCTGTTACTATTTACTATATTACATATTATCTAAAAAGAAAGAGGAATCGCTGATTTGGAGTGCATTCCATAAAACATGTTATTTTCACTCCTTGACGACATTTAGGGATGATTTATTTTCAAATCACAAATTTTTTTCAGGATTTTCAGACAAACATTAGCTTTGACGAGCTTGAAGACAACATCGTGAAAAATACTTGATGTTTCCCATTCGTATTGTACCAGAGGACATTTAATCCTTTAGGGTTACAACAAGGAGTTACAATTTTAATAAACATTAACACCAGGAACTTGGCTCAAAGCAAAAACATAGAAAATAAGTTAGGCCTATAGGTGTTAAGTTTTTTTTTTTAATAAAGTGTGAAAAATATATGGTCCAGTAAATGAAATGGCGTGGTGAATGGAGAATTAGATGAAATCAAGAACTAAGAAACCTCCACCAACGTCCATACTTGAAGCTATCATCCAAAGCAAAAGCAGAAGAATAAGAAGGTACAGAAGTATTTGAAACCGCTTGGACAAAACTAATAAAGACCAAGTGGAAAAAGACCTCAGGAGTAACTTGCGAGCAAGCCGAAGACCGAGAAGAATGTAGGCGCATTGTTGTGGAGATCCAAAAACCTACTTTGGTTTAAATGACCACAGCGGTAAGGTAAGGGTTTCGTTAAGAATCATAGAGCTTGTTTATTTCATCAATGAAAATGTCTGAACTATTAAAAAAGCACATTTTTTTACAACACATTACCCCTGGTCAAACCAAAACTGGCAGGATATATAAGCCTACATTAAAACAGTGCAAGAAGTCAGCATTTGAAAAAGCAACTTGTCGCTGAGTGTGGCTGGAGCCGTATGTTAACATTAGGGAGTGCATTTGTAGTCGTGACCTGTTAGCGAATTTCCCTATAGGGAAGTAGCTATTACCGTAGGTCTCATGGTAAGACCTAAGCCCGGGACCAATTTACTTTTTCATTTTGATGTCCCCAGAGGCCAAAAACACCATTCGTTCAAATTTTTATATATCTATATATAGATATATATGAAAAATAGAAAAATAGGGCTACTATATATAAATAAAGATTAAACATTAAACTTAGTACCCAAGTAAAATTATTTATTAAAATATTTTAATAAATAATTTTACTTGGGTACTAAGTTTATTAATGTTTTATCTTTATTTATAGATATATATATATATATATGTGTCCATCCGCACGATAACTTGAGTAATTTTTGTCCGATTTTGATAAAATTTGGTTTGAAGGTGTAAGGCGGGATAAACTTGAATGAGTTCGCGAACCAGCATGATCGGACTATGGGAACAGGGGTTTATGGGGGGTTTGATGGGGTAAAAATAGGTTTTTCCCATTTTTGACCCTAAAAACACAAAATTTCACTATTTCTTTTCAAACCATTTTGTAGAGCTTAAAAAAAAACAAATAATTTAGTATAATGAAGTGTTGTTATGCGCCTAATTGTTACGGAGAAAATTCAAAAAAATTGTAATTTTAAAATTCCCATGTTATTCTTATGGAGAATAAGTCAACTGTTGTAGTTTGCTTGTTTATGAACAAATTTTGATCATATTTGGAAAATATGTACATTAATTTCTTACTAAACCACGGTACCTTTTAATATTTTACATTTTTTAAAAATCTTTTTTACCCTCCCTGTTGCAGCAAACCTAAGTCCTCATTAAACTAATTCTGTTTAAAAAGGGAATAAATGTGATATTTTTAAGGAGACATTTTAGTTTAAATCCAATCAGGCAAATGGAAATTCGCTAAGTCTGCAGGTTTGCTGCGGCGGGGGTATTTTTATTCTTTGTCGCCAAGTCGTCTCGTGTGGTCGTAGCCTACATACAATACAAATTTAGGGAAAATGTAAAGAGATTCACTACTGAGCTTTTTTTATTTTACTATACATTTTTGTTTCTTGGAATAACTTCTTCATGAAAAATATATACAATACTAATTTTAAAACTGTATGTAACTATAAATATGTAAAAAGAAAAGAAAATAATACGGTGTTGGACACATTAGTGATTTTTGTCTGTGACACAGCTTGCTGGCATAACTTTTACATGAATATTTCAACACAAAGATTGATACATCCTAGATATTACTTGGAAATTAGTTGAAATTATTATTGCATATTCTTAAGTAGCCTAGTTCTTTTTCCAATTACATCCATATTACTTTTGGAAATTAAATTAGGCTATATGCTTTTAAAACAAGTTTGAATCTCATCTAATGGTAAAGTATGATTATTGCTCATAACTTCTTATTAAATAGAGGGGGGGAGGGGAATGCCTTTATTTGTATTTGCCCTACAAAATGACACCTAAGGCTCAAGTTATACCAATTTTTAAGACGGCCAAGTATTTTTTTTATATTTATTCCCATAAAAAAAAATTCTATACTTTTGATGTGAACCATAAAAAATCATGCCAACTCCATTAATTCATACTAACATATCTTAAGTAGTGAATCTCTTTAATGGCCAAATGTTTAAAACTGAATTCAAACAATGATCAATTCATCATCGTCATCCAGATTTATAGTTTCGTTGGTACTACTCTCACAGCGATGTCTCTCCAGGGCCTGCTCAGATCTGAAGTTCTTGTTGCAGTCTAAACACGTGTGGAATGTCTGCCGAAGGTGCAAGCTCGTGTGATGGTCGATGATGTCGTCAGTGAAATACTTATTACAATAAACGCACAATCTGAAACAAAGAGCCAGTAATTATACAGTATTTTAACCAATATATCTCCCTACTTTAGACAGAGATATACAAATTGAAAAATAAAATGAAAATGAAATAAAATGAAATGAAATGAAAAATGAAATGAAATGAAATGAAAAACGTTTATTTATCCCAAGAATATAAACTAAAACAGAGAGTAGCTATACAACTAACAGTTAGTGATGTGGGCCGGGTAAATACCCAGTGGGTAGGTAAATATAAATTGGGTATTTACCTGGGTATTTACCCCAGGCCCGGGTAAATACCCAAAAATTGGGTATTTATCATTTGTATTAAAGTTAGAGAAGATTGAGATGTTTTTTTGCAATTATTACCTTGTAAAGATAGCAAAATGATAATAAAACGTGTTAAACAAAATTTAATATGGTCACTACTAGCATTTTACTTCTCGGTATGATCACCATAAATACCCAGGTCTGAGCATAAAGCATAATCGGCATAAATACCCTTGTCGCATGGTTGCACTGGTCCTGACTACTTATGATTTTTTAATTTATATGATAGATAGATGAATTTATTTTATTAAAAGTGAAGGAAAATAATTTGTAAAATAATAATTATTATTTAGAAAGACAGGAAAATTTAACCTAGTAGTGGCCTGTGTGTAAACAACTTAAGAAAATAATTAAAATTCAAACTGTAGGATGGCAGGATTTAATAATATTTTTGTTCTAGATCTTTTGTTGGTATAAAAATAAAAATAAAACTAATTTCATAAACTTGTGACACAACAAATTTGAATCTATAGCACAATAAATCTTTCAAAAATATATCAAAGTTAGACCAAAAAACAGGACATAAATTTTTTAGTAGGTTTATCCAAATATATTATTGTTCCCAACTAAGCGGTAACACAGAAAAGTTTAATGTAGACTCCTTCTTATCCAGACACCTTTTAACTGGACAATTTTTACCAGCCCATTGGTTTAACCTGACTAGATTGGCAAGAAGTGAGCGGTACTGAAACGACTGTTCTCGTGGGAAAGATTTGAGACCAGTGATCACGTATCTAAATACAATGCTCTCCTAAATTAAAGTCGATTATGACAGTACCGGTACACGGTTTCCGTTTTAACAAGTTTTTGGGGACGTCGGTTTAACCAGAAAAACCGTTATCTGGACTAGCCTCGGTCCCGAGGAGTCGGATTTTGGGTATTTACCCTGAGTTTTAAATACCTGGGTATTTTACATCACTACTAACAGTACAATATTTCTAAAATAAAATAAAATTTGCCTTACTTATGGGATAGGCCTATATGGGCAGGTGCCTGTGCGTAGGCCTGGCTGTTATCAGTCTAAGCAAATTGAGGGCACACACTAAAATTGGGAAGGTTTTTAAGCCTTGTTAATTTAACTTGATCGTTTAGCGGATAAGAGAATGTCGGCGACGACAACCAAAGCCAGTGCAATCTAAGACAGGAGACATTGTGAGGGCGAGGGGGTCGAAGGGTCAAGGATTGTTTAGTCAGGGTCAAGTAAGGTTAGGTCTGATCAAAGTTTCGGCCTCTTCATTGGTAATCGTGTGCAGTAAAACAAGCATCTGTTTTTTGAATTTCTGTATTGAGGGTAAACTACAAATGTGTAGAATATTATATTTTTGAATTAGATTTCGATATAGAATCTGAGCAACATAAAAACAGTTTGTAGTTAGAACTGACTTATGTAGCTGAGGGACAGATATTCCAACATTGTGTGAATATCTTGTGTAGTGTTGATGTGTGACTGCTGTAAGGATCGTGTTTGAGTTTTTGAATGTGTGACTAAGAAGAAACTGAATGAAAATATGTCTGACTGGTAATACTCCCGTCTCACGGAATAGCGCATCAGTGGAGTACCTTTTATTTTTTCTAAAAGCTACTTTCAAAATTGATATTTGGACCACATTCAAGGGTTCCAAGGTGGTGTGATAGCATGCTCCCCAGCAGATAATACCAAATGAAATCAAGGATTGTACATAAGCGAAATACTAGGGATATCTTTAATAAAACTTGTAGGGAACTTGTTTGATAAAAATGGATTGAAAATTAATCAAGATAAAACTCAATTGGTTAGATTTTTTATACCACAGTATAGACAAAATGTAAATGCTTTCACACAGCTTTCAATTGATAAAAATGTTAAATTTTTAGGCCTGTACATTGACAAGCATTTTGCGTGGGATAGGTGTGTTGAATATGTTTTGGGCAAACTCAACTCTGCTTGTTTCCAAATTTTATGTTTAAGGGATACAATAGACTTAAAAACTTCAGTGATGATGTGTTACGCTTATTTTTACTCCATACTTCAATATGGTATTGAATTTTGGGGCTACTCAACAGATATAAATAGAATTTTCAAAGTCCAAAAAAGGTTTTTGCGAATCATAACTTTTCACTATGGAAAGCTTCATATAAACCAATTTATAAACACTTAAATATAATGACGGTTCCAAATTTGATTATTTATAAAACCTTGCTAACTGTACAATCCAACTATTCTCAATTTTGTAGCGGAAACTTTGAGCATTCTTATAATACAAGATTCAAAAATAATTTACAGTATCCTAGACACAATCTCAAACTTGTTTTTGACACAGTCTCACCCTTCCTACATGGGGAAATTCTTCTTCTCACTTTTAATTTCTGACAACAGCTTGAGTTTCATAACAATGTTTGTTTCCCATGTTAATCTTATGGAGGAATACGAAACTTTATAGGGCCTCACTCTCTAATTATTTCCCTAAAAAGTTTCCTGCACAACTTCATGTTACGCTCTTTCCAATGACATCAAAAACATGTCAATCGGTTTAGTAGTTTTGGAGGAGTAATTGTCATAAAAAACCTGCTTGCGTATTAAATAAGTATAGATATGTTCGTAAACAAGCAAACTGCAACAGTTTATTTTTCTCCATGAAAATAACATGGGAATTTTAAATTTACAATTTTATAAATTTTCTCTGTAACCGTTGACATCAACAGCGCTTCAATATACTAAATTATTTCTTTTTCAAGCTCTACAAAATGGTTTCGAAAGAAATTGCAAAATTGCATGTTTTTTGGGTAAAAATGGGAAAAACCAATTTTTACCCCATAAAACCCCCCCAATAAACACCCGTTCCCATGGCCCGATCATGCTGGTTTGCGAACTCATTCGAATAAATGTAGGTTTACATGTTGATTCCAAATTTCATCAAAATCTGATTTTTAAAATATGAAAATTGATGTCAATGACGAAATTCTCAAACCCAACATAGTGGGGTGATTGGCCATCTTGAATTGGTTAAGACTTAAGTATATCTCCAAACATAACAGATCTTATCACATGGTATTTCTTTAACCACACATGATCTTCAAAGACTGTCTTAATAATACAGTACTACGGTAGACTAAATTGAAGGAGCTTACTTCTTCCCATTAATATTATTGAAATTCTCTTCGTTCGGTCTCTTCACCGGTGTGGGGGCTGCTCGCTGGGGTGTAGCTGAAGCTTGAACAGACATAGGTTTGGGCACGACGGTTCTCCGTCTCGGAAGTGACTGGGGAGCAGGTACTGGAGCGACAACGGGAGCAACAACTGGTGTATCGACTGGGGCGACTACTGGGGCCACTACTGTGGGGTTTTGGTAAACTATCGGCTGCTCACTAACTGGATTCTGAGGCACCTGAGAATAACGGAAAATATAGTTTGATATAAGAACTTAACTTAAATTATAGTTACGGATGAATGCTTGGTTAGCTCTGTAATATGTAAATAGAAATAGAATAGTGTTGTTTCAAGGGAGTCTTAAGAAAAGAATTGAACACAATTTTATGTCTTATTTTGAGCATTATGGCATTGGTTTTGTATATTTACCTATATTCTAATTACATAGGTAATGGACAACTATTGCAATGCCCAGTGAGGCAATACAGCTAACACTGAAGAGCAAACCACAACTACAGAACATCTAGTCATCACAATATCACAACTAGTGAAGTGTCAAAACTGAATCTCTAATCTCAAAACCATCAAAACTTTGGAAAAGTTTCAGTTTCGAGATTCAAAATTTAAGTTTGGAAATTGAAGATTTTTGCATTTATTTTTTAAACTGCTGACATCTTTTTGTGTCATTATTACTGTTTTTAACATTGTTTCCTCACAAACTCGTAGCAATATTGGTTATTTATAAAAATTATGTTGTATTGTGTTTTAAGATTATCAGTCACGTATTTATGTTATGTTAGGGTCAGGAGTCGATCTCTATCAGTTTTGATTGCATACTTAACATTTCATTATTACCTGTATTTTTGTAACCTTGGCCTTCGTAACCAGCTAAGTAAAAAGGTTTCACGTAGTGAAAACTTACTATCGATAGTATCGATAGTTTAAAAAATATCGATAGTGGGTCAATAGTATTAGACTATCAATAGTTTTTGTTTACGTAAAATTATGTAAAAAAATCTTTTTCTGTTACTCTCACATTTCATTGTTTGTCTGTTAATGCATACCTATTGTTAATATTAGGCCTATAGCCTAAGTTTTTTTTTCAAAGTTTATTGTGGAAAAACTTTGTAGAAAAGTACCTTCTTAAACATTTGAAAGAGGGGGCATTTGCTAATTCACTATACCGGACTTATGGGTACATTTGCCTTATGGGTCTTAGCATGGATTAAAGAGTAGACACCGGTATACGGTAAAAAATTCTCTTGCCATTTTCTTTTTATTATTCATTTAACAAATTATTTTATACTCACATAGCATAAATATATAATATTTTTAGTGAATAATAAAAGAAAATGGTAAAACTTATTGTTATTTTATACCAATGTTATATTATTTTGGAAAAGAAAAAATCATAAAGGAGGCACCTGGACGTCACTCACAAATTGTTAAAATTAATAATCTGATACAGCTTTATCTTCGACTAGGTAGAAACCATTGATTAAACCCATACAGGAAGGATATACAATATTATATGCATTAAAACTCCATTTGAGTAACTATCGATAGTACTATCGATAGTATCGATAGTTTTAAAAAAACTATCGAAAAATATCGATAGTGTGACTATCGATAGTAAGTTTTCACTAGTTTCACGTTTAGGTTTTGAGATTCGAGATTCGGGATTAGATTTTAAAAGTTTCAGTTTCGGTTTTGAGATTCGAAATTTTGGGTTTTGTCCGTCACTATTCAAAACCAATTTGGTTACAATTTTAAAATGATAACCGGATTGATTCTTAAGTCTGATACCTCTTGTACGGTATATATTTTGTATCTTGTGAATATAGTAATTTTGAATTTGAATTGAAGAAAATGAGATGATAAGTGTAAAACTATTCAGAATATTGCAGTGAGTAATACTGCAAAAAAGGAAAAAAGTTGATAATCTCAGTTTTTTTATACCATTTGTGTTAACCACTGTAACCTTGACATACCTGGATCAACGCCTGAGGATATATTTCTTCAGCAGGGGCTGTTGGCTGTGTAGGGGTGGCTGTGGCGGGGGCTAGATACGTGACTGGTGTCAACACAGGTTCTATTGTCCCCGCTGTGGGGGCTTGTGGCACTACTTGGGCCTCCCTAGTGATCAAAACAGAAAACAAGCATTGACATTTAAAAATCTTTCCTCTCCAATGGTTATTTCCATTTTCCTCAGGTTATTCTTACTTAAATACTTAATCTGTGTCTATTTAAGGTACTAATCGATTTAGATCTAATTTCTACTGATCCATCTAAACTAAACTCAATCAATCTAAAGTCTTGCGTTGATATTTGGGGTATCATTTGCCATTTGACTGATCTGTGATTAACATTACTTGGACATGTCAGTTAAAATTATACTATAATAGATGTATTACAAATGTTCAGTGATTTAAAATGGGGATCTTAAGTAGTAGTTGTAACAGTTGGTACAATCTTGATCTTGACTTTTGCTTACTTCATAGACTTTTCCCGGAACTGTAATTACCACAAGAGACAAATTCTGCAAGTCACAGTTAAGGTCCAGACATTAATAGCCGTGGTATTCTTGACAAACAGCTCTGAGGTGAATCTGTCCACATTTTTCACTAGTGTCAGGTTACACCCCACAAAGGAAAGTAGCATTTAACCAAACAGTGGTTTAACTATATAGCAACCCGAATGTTAGTTTAGAAAGGAGAATTACAGAAAGGAGTCTTTTAAACACTGGTTTGACTATCCTCTGCCACCGTGCTTGATAGTTCAGACCCCACCAAGGAAAGTGATATAAAAACACAATCGTTGACTATTGATTGAACTATACATTCCATCTTCGGGTTACTGTCTAGAGAACACAGGAAAAATGTTTAAGTTTTAAGCATATTAGGCTACCCCATTAACAATAGCCCAAAGTTGTTTTAGTAGTGTTATCAGAATTTATGTAGTTGAGTTAAACCAACTGACAAATTGTGCTAATGTAAATTACTGATTTCTGTCTATCACACCAACTTTTTTTACAAATCAATCTGATAGCTTACAAATCACAACATATTAAAGTTACTGAGATAGTTTCCCTCACCTGTTGACACTGGTGGTTGGGGTCGAAGTGTCCGGAGCTAAACAGATGACCGCCGACTCTCCAAAATTCACTGGGTAAGTCTCAGTCAGATCACGTAATCTATCCTCCACGCTGAGCCTGACATGGGTCTAAAATACAGCGACATTTGTATTATCTTTTTGTTGGAAAAAAGTTCCGGCGATTTATACCTGATATATTATCAGGGTATTTGTTGAACCATTTATTGAATGTAATAATTTTAAATCTTGTTAGGAACAATATGTGTAGGCTATTTCTAAAAATATATTTAAAATCAAATTTAACTTGTATCAACAAGCTAGGTCGAGAAACAAGAGCCAGGAAAATATGAGAATAAGAAAACAAACTAAGGTACTGTAGATGTGGCTTTTTAAACTATAGAAATTACTTTGAGTTGTTAAAACTTAATAGTAAGGTTTGACTTTTGTATATAGCTCTGTCAGCGGATGATAATAGTTCTTAAACACTGTGACTAGTGGCTGCACCTTAGGCGGATGAAACCACAATTATATTGGCTATACCTACATTGCTATACCTTGTTTATGGTTTATGATATCTATGCTGTATCTTCAATGTGTTCACCATAATGATATTATCAGATAAACATACATTTTCCATACTAGGACACTACTTACAAGGAAAATCCTTCCCTCCAAGTTACAGCTGACCATTATCTACATCTACTGACACTTTCGAGGTGGAACCAATGAGAAGGAATGTTAAGGGGGTGTTCCCATGCAAGATGAAGGGCCATGCATTTATGCTATCTAATAGTTTATTAGCAACAATGTGTACAGCAAAATCTCTCAAAAGTACCCCATATACTTTCCTAAGCAGGCTTTGAAATTACGATGGTCTAATACAGTTTGGAAAAGAAGGGGTTTGCAGGACTTTAAATGACATATTTAAAGATTGAAAAAATTAAATAAATACCAAGCCAAGATACTAAAAAAAATACCAACAGTTTTTAAAAGAGGTTATTTGTTGGTAGAATTTTTTTATAAAGGCGTTTTTTCTTAAAATTTAGTAAATGAAATGATAATAAACACCCTACAAAGGACAAATGAAGTGTTATCAATTCTTTGAGACAGTGGCCGTAAATGAAGTGTTATCAATTCTTTGAGACAGTGGCCGTAAGCGTGTATTTTACAACTTTCTTTCTTTTACAGTAAGCTAGATTTTAAGCTGAATAGTGAATATGTACACAAGGTGAGTGTAGAATGGAGTGAGATGATATGTGTAAGCTTTGTTACCCTGAGAACAACATGAAATACTCATGAGAAGCCTCTGCTATGCCATCAAAATAATTTTAAAGCTGTGAAGTTAAAAATTATTGTTAAAAAGCAACTTTCCAATAGAATATTATGAAATATATATTTTTGTTATCTACTTATGTAAAATAATTTATGATAATTGTATACTCAACTATTTTTTTTGGCAGTGGGGCTTTTGTCTTACACCCCTGACACAGCCATGATTTATTAGGATTGTTCAACAGCTCATTGTACTTAAACATGGTCATTTGTACACATGTTGTATGGAACCACTTTTTACAAACACCTTCACATCCTACACCATAATCCTCTTCTCCTACTTCCTGACCGCAAACGCCACAACATGCGTCTTCATTACTGGGGCTTAAATTTTCCTAGAGGGAACGAAAATTAAAAAAAAATAAATAACCAAACATTAAGCTTTCCACAACATCTGTCATCCAAGAAAGATTACGTTCTGATTTTGATGGCTCATTCAGAAATGTGCCTAAGTTAGCTTGTTACCGATAAATAATTAATTAATTTTAGAAAGGGTTTCCTAGCTCTTTTAGTTGGTTAACCAATTGAAGACATGGTTTTCCTTTCTAACAGAATCCTTGCCTTACATACCAATTTAAGTTACTTTGGACCTGCCATCCTAAATAGTCCCAGACGATTTCATACAAAATATAGATAAAAAAAATTGTAGAAATACCCAGATCTAGAATTGGGTCACTGAACATTAAAATGAATACGGCGACATATCCTACCTCAGTTTTAAGATAAGAGACAGACTCAGGGGTGTGTCTAGTGATCAGTATTTTTTTGTCTAACTACACATTATTTCTGCAGGTATTCAGTGTAAGATTGTGATTGCAGTTTAAATACCACAACACTGAACTAAACAAGAGCTGAAGAACCTCTTAAACAAGCCCTAGTCACACCAATAGCATACAGTTGGCACTCAATAATCCAACACTCATAAGTATTCTGAAACTGCACTAGATAAGTCATCAAAGTATGTAAGTAAAGTACAAGTATTTGATTTGTGTTGTGAGATGTGTCTTGGGACTTTCTGGTTGCTGTTTTTAGTTCAGTTTGCAGTTATGATAGATGAAGAAATTGTACAAAAGGTTACATCTTATGTTGAAGACAACGTAGTTGAAAAGCAGTGAATATAAGACACAATATCACATGTGAAAAAGCAACAACAGTAGCATTTAATTCGAAAAAAAAATCTAAAAATAGCTGTGCTAGACAGTTTGAGGAAGAACAAACTAAACACAACCTTTTACATTCTTACTTATACAGTACCAGAAGGCTTGGTTAAATTGTAATGCTTAATGTTATATTGGCCTGTATAGAAATAACTTGTTAATTATTTTAACTGCTAAAAAGAAGTGGGACACAGTTAAAGAAGAGGAAACATAAGACTCTTTAAATTATTATACTTATTTATAAAATATAGGAAGGTGTTACAGTAGACTCTTGATAATTCGAAATTGGTGGGCCAAGCATATAAATTTGAATTATCAAGAGTTTTGAATTATCAAGAGTTCGATTTATCGGGAGAAAAATAAACCATTCGAATTACAGAGAGTTTGTTTGTTTAATACATACAAAGGTACAGCACGTTACAATAAAACATCATACCGTATTTTAGTACACTTTTAAACAATCAACGGCTTATTTTTCAGTTACTGTAGTTGCAAAGAAATCTGTTATTTAGCGCTAGATATATTTCGCCAATAGCTGAACTATCAGCTGTCGACAACTACGTTTGTGCTCAAGGAGATGTCGCGCAATCTAGAGATCGGATTGCCAACTTAGAAAAACAAGTCAGCGAACTAACTCAGACTACTGCTCTAACTAAAAAAACATCAAAACGTCCAACACTAGCCTACCATGGGAACAGGATGTACTGTACTGTATAGTTTCCTGTTATAACAGGAAGAGATCACTTCGAATTATAGAGTGTTGTACCGACTTAACTTCGAATTACTGCGTGACTTTGATTTATAGAGTGTTTTTTCGACGAAACTTTGAATTACAGCATGACTTCGAATTAATGAGTGTTAACCGACGAAACTTTGAATTACTGAGTTACTTCGAATTATAGAGTGTTTTTTCGACGAAACTTCGAATTACTGCGTGTTACAAATTGACCTGCCCTCTATTTGGACTTTGAAATACCGAGTGTATCAAAATGCATGGTAAAAATTTGAAATATTGAGAGATTCTCTAGGGACTGAGCCTTCATTTTGAATTATCGAAAGTTTTGAATTATCAAGTGTTTGAATTACCAAGAGTGGACTGTATTTTATAATATGTGTTATGCCTGATTAAGTCTTACTTTATGAAGCATGCCCAACTAAACTATTGGTATACGGATACAAATATTATTTGTATTTGTATATTAATTAATTTTGTATCCGTTTATGACCAAAATAAAAGCCAGAAAAGAGAGATCTGTGACCTCCTTCTATAAACAAAAGTGAAAAGAAGTAAAACAGACATTGTGTGCAATCCCTACTAATCTCACTAAATGTCATCAACTTCCACCCAAGCTGGACACCGTTTATTTAAGGTGACCCCTCTAAACCAGTTTAGCAACACATTAGTAAGCTTAATATGGATTGCACATGTACGGGGTTTGAATCCGGCAATGCTAAACTTGTCAGTGCCAACACCTTAGCCAGCTGAGCAACCATGCCATCGTCAGCCGCCCAAGATGAGTACCACTACAAACACGTTGCTCCATGAGCTCACAGCTAGATTTGACGAACCACTTAGTGCCAACACGTTTGTTGTACAGTTACCTCTCAGTAACATACTACACCTGTGACTCACAAAATGGAAATGGACACTTTGAAAAACTTGAAGAAAGATCCTAAAATGCTAAAAGGTTAGGAAGTTTGCGACAAAACTGTTGTGTTTGAAACTGTTACTGCACTTCCCAAAAATTTGATGTTGAGACGCAGCTTGATTATAAAATATAAAAATTTTCTGACTAGCCGGAACTAGACAGTCCAACTCAAACAAAGACTGTAGCCAAACTAAGCAACCTTGGGTCATGGAACCGGCTGGAAATTTGGGGGGGGGGGGGGGGGTAATGTCAGGCAACTCGGTAATATGGCATTTGGCCTTGACTCTCAAATCATTTGTCTATTAGAAAAAATGACTCGTTGTTTTATAGCCACATCTCTTACAGTATATTAGAAAGACAATTCTAGGACTTGAAATGGAATTCTTAGTTGCATACAATCATCTTAAAATTTTTAAGTAAGGAGCATACTAATCCAAAAAGAGTTACCACATAATCTTTCATAAGAGCAATATTTTTACATTATTTTTTTGTAAGGAGTTTTACCACCATTGTACTATTTAAGCCCCATTTACTCGAGGCCAGTAGAGTAGGCAGGTAGCAAGGCAGGTTACATGCCTCTAATGTATTTCAAGTTACCTGAGGCAAGTAACCTGCCCTCCAATCGGTATGGTGTAAACACAGCTTTAAATTTAATGAAACTGAAAAGTTAAGTTTATTGCCTATTGCCTAAAAAAACCAACTGAGCAAATCACTTAAAAAGTCCACATATTTTCCAGAAACAAGATAGGTAAACTTATCTGAAAACTAAATTCTAACAACTGAAATAAAGTCAACACTCAAATGTCACTAATAACAAAGCTTCAACCACGACCTCAATTTAATGACAATAATAAATCAAACTTGTGTTTTCATGAAGGAACTAAAAGTATGTTTATTTGGTCAACTTTGCGGAGAGCTGGGACAAAGTTAAATTTGAAAGCACACAATGTAAAATTTATTAAATATCATCAGTAAAGTCTGCCTAACATGCAACTATACTCACACAACATGCTTAAACATCCACCACTCAATATAGAAAAAAACAATGCACAGTGGGAAACTCCTGCAATGATCTGACGGAAATTGTTGGTGTTATACTTCTACTAAATGATAGTAATTCTCATGGTTTTGAAGGAAAAAGATTATTGTTTCAAGGTATGTCTGTTTTCAGATGAATCAGAGGTATTAACTAGTGCAACAACCACCAAATTGTGATCTTTAAATCACCAACTCAAGCCAACAAGTAAGGTCTTCAAACTAGTAAAGAGGACAAAAATTACATACTGAACTAAGAGTTACTTTACACATTTTCTAATCACAAATGCTAACATCACATACCTAATTCCCCTGCCACAGCAAACCTGCAGACTGAGCCAATTTCCTTTTTTTATGTTGACTAAAATATGCCCTTAAAATTGTCACATTTATTCCCGATTTAAATAACATTAGATGCAACTAGTCCTTATTAGGTTTGCTGCTACAGGGAAAAAAAACATTTTGTTTATGAAAAATGTTAAAAGTATGGTATGAAATCAATAAATTGGCCAAATTCAATCAAAATATATACATAAACAAGTACTCAAACTAGAGCAGTTTACTTTTTTCCATAAGAAAAACGTTGGAATTTTAAATATACAATGTTTTGGAATTTTCTCCATAAACTTTAATCATACAACGGTTTATTGTACAAAATTATTTGTTTTTTAACTCTACATGATAGTTATAATAAATAATATATAAATTTCTAAGTTTAATGAATAAAAATTTGAAAAAAACCTTTTTTGACCAATTTTAAAACCCAACATTCTGTTCCCATGACCCAATCTTGCTGGTTCATAAACTCATAAAAGTGTTCATCAAAAATGGATTAAAACTACTCGAGTTATCATGATCACAGACACACATAACAGTTTTAACAAATAAAATGTTTGGCAAATAGGGGCATCAAAATAGAAAAGTAAATCAGTCCCGGGTCTAGGTCTTACCGTGCCACCTGCGGTAATAGCTACTTCCCTACTGGGAAATTCGCAAAAGCTAAAAGAATCAAGGTAAATAAAAAAAACCAAACCAATTTTGGACGACAGATGTTGAGAATATACACACAAATACATGGAACAAACATAACAAATTATTAATAATGGAAACTAAATTAAAACAAATAAATGCACAATAAAACAAGAATCACGAATCAACTCTTTAACCCTTTGAACCAGAGGACGAAGATTTTGTCTTCTTGGATTTATATTAAGCTATATAGAAGCAATATGTAACTATTCTGTGTGATAACTGATATTAAGAATGATACACTGTTATTTCTGTTTAACAATTAAATGAGGAAAAGGGGATAAAAGACAGTGCAACATCACAAACACATACACAGTAAAACATAATCAAATAAACATCTAGATACATCAAAGATTTACAAAAAATCTACATCCATCTACAGTATCACATCTAAATAGGCTACTAATGGCAAATATAACTACTAAAACGTTACATTTTTTAAACATCACACAGAAAAATACAACTGGAACTTTTTTAATGAGACAAAAATACTAATTTACTTTGCATGTCAACAGAGCTATATAAATATTCTCATTAGGTGTGTTTCAAAATGTTTAACATCCAAAGACAAAAAAATATATTTAAGATGTAGTACGGTACTTTAAAGTCACTAAATACCACTTTTTTTAAGGTTGGCAGCTTCTTTTTTTTACAATTGTTCATCAACATGGACCGTAGGTCTGTCGAGTAAAGCAAGGGGTGAGTGAAAAAATTAAATGTAGGCTACTGATAAACATTAGTGGCAGCACTGGGACGAGAGCTGTAACTACTGTTTTTGTTCGTAGCCCATCTACCGACTGAGCTACCAACTCCCCAAACTGTAACAAATCGAATCTGCAACTTTGAGCTGCATCTTCTTTCTTACAGAAAATTGTAGATTGGGTTTGCATTTTGATACCATCAATATTTTAAGAATTCAAATGTCAAGGAGGGTTTAGTTTTGACTATATACTCAATACTCTTGAAGGTTAACTAAGGTTAACTATAAGGTTGAAGGTTATGGCAAGTATTCTGATTGGACATTCAGCAAAATAATGTTTATTTCCCTTTTTCTCACCAAACAATTTGAGATCTGTTCTACTTATGTTATCCTTTCTCCCTCTCCATTTTTATTATTTCGCTTCTATACATATTTCTTATGTTTGTAATAAAACCTCAACAATTATTTTTTATTTTTAAAGGTGTGTACAGCTTGCTTAGCGGAGACGATTGGTATAACAAGTGAAACATTTAGAGACCAGTCTGTATCGATTATACTCCACCTCGGGCATCTCGGTAAGGCAGTTTGGTTTTTTTTTAATATTGCCTTCATTGTAGGTTGTAAAATGTCATTTTTGTTCATGAAACTTGTTTGTTTGGTTGTAGTTTTGTTGTTTTATAATACATTTTTAATATTAAATTATTAAAACGTTCCCAGAGGCGCCAAAATATATACAGAGGCTTGTAAGCACACCGACCGACTACTGAGACCCAAGCATCAGCAACCCAAACTATGTTGCCAAAATCGGTAACAACTACCGTATTAGCATTATCTGTCTCCTCTTATACATATATTCTCAATGGTAATGGAAAATTGCTGTTGGGAGTCTTTTTAAATAGAAAATAAATACTATTGATGATTGCCAAAAGATTTGAGCCGAGGGATTCAGGACCAAAGTCCTACTCTCCAACTAGAAAAGTCGTGCTCATATTACATAGTGTTTTAAAATCATCTATTGATTTTTTGCTGTGGAACATCCCTGGCTGACATGAGTGCATCATCATGACCATTATAACATACTATTTGCAACATGCCGCTGAGCATATTCATTCAAATTCGTAAGTACAATAATCAAAGTGATTGCCATTGTTTTCTCTCCTAGTGGTCAAAAACAGCGTACTAAAAAAGAAAGTAGCAAGTTAGGCCTAACTTACAACAGCATCAACCCAACTCTATAATCAGAACCTAATTGTTGATCACATTCTGTTTCAGGCTTGAATCACCAAATGGAACAAATTCTGAACAGTTTCTGAATAAAGTCTGAACCTTAACGGACTCAGGCCTTAGTGTAGTATAATAAATAAATAAATAAATCCTTCCACCAAGAGTGAACTTGCAAGTTGGCCTTAGTGTGAAAAAACAAAAGCACATTAAAATTAAGCTCTTTTCATTGCACACGGAGCAACATTTACTTCCTGTACCAAACCCATTCATTATTGTAAAATTATTATTGGGTTATTTTTGTTTCAGGGATATTTTAGAAGGATATGCCTAGCATTAGGTATTTATGTTACCACTAAACCTAGCCATAAATTTGAAGCACCAAATCCTGTAGATAACAGAATTAGTATTTACAAGATTATTTAGGGATGAAACACAGCAAAATTAAAACTTCACACCGTGCAGCTGTCAAGACAAATTTAGAAATAAGTATTACATTATCTAACCTGATTATTTTTGTCTCGCTCTCTCGACAAGGAATACAATTTCTTTTCAATTTTGGTCTGTGCCTCCTTACACTGCAAGTACATAGCCCAACATGTATCAAGTTTTGTTAGGCACGTAAGGCAAATCTGTTTTGGAAGGTTGTCGTCTTGCCGGACCTAAAACAAAAATGTGCAAGACATGTAAAATACAAGTTAAACCACAATAAAAAAATTTAAACTAGAAGAAAACCTTAAAACATATGTAGTAAGTCTCTTTCAAATACTGAAATATTATATTAACTTTAATAATGAAGCTTAAAAATCAAATAAGAATAAATCTCTGCTATTATGTATCCTATACTAATACTCTAATATGAGCAATGTTTGCTTGTATGTTATGTATGCTTGCTTGCACAAAGATCTCAAAAACGGCTTTGACGATTTTCTTCAAATGTTGTAAATAGGCTTAGATTATTTCTGGCTTCTAAAAACAAGTTTACTGCAGTTATAACTGCCAACAAAAATCTTATTACGTAGAAAAATGAAACTGAAAGTCACATTTTTTATCATTAGTCTTATGGGTTGCTAAGTAACCATGTAGGTTGAATTAAATAACTAGGAAAAAGTTAACAAAAGACTTGCAAGTTGTAGCATGTGTTTATAATAAGCCATCACCAACAGTAGGCCCTATACTAGCAAATTACAAAATACAGTACAAAAGGAAAAACATCACTTGTTACTATTGAGCAAAGATTAGGCCCTAGAGGACCTACTGAAAATTACTCGATACATTGTAGTAAAGGCTAGCAGTGCGGAGTGTGGGATCTGTTAAGACGAAGATTAAAGTATCTGCAATCCTAAAATGCTATGGGAAGGGAGGGAAACAGGTCCGTGACATAGGAAGTGATGAAAGAAGTAGTAAAGGCGAGCTGTCCGGAGTGTGGGATCTGTTTATGACCATAAGATTAAGGTATCTGCAATCCTAAAATTCTATGGGAAGGGATGGAAACAGTTCCGCGACATAGGAAGAGGTGAAGGAAGTGTTGTGTATTCACATGGGTTAATTTATTAGTTTGCAGTTTGATTTCATTTATATCTGGAGCAGGGAGCTCAGCCAAAAAGTAAATAGTTTTCAATCTTGAGATTTTGTAACATTATACAGGGTGAGTCAGTGAAACGGGCTATTTTCTTATAACGTTAGTGAGTAGAGGGGAAGAAGGAAAGGGGCCGAGTAAGTTACCCTGCGTTCCCAACCTCTGGAAGTTTAGTTGCCATATAGCTTTAGCTTTGGACCGGACCACAGCGGGGTTTTGCCGTCAAGGCATTTTATCAAAACAGTGAAAGTTCTGTGCGTACACCACATCGGGCCTTGCGCATTAATTTTGGTCTGCCCCCTCCCTCAAGTTCCATCGAGACATGCAATTCTGGGCTGAAACTTGGAAGAAACGGGACAAACCACAAAAAGAAGAGGTGGAAGTACCAGCAGAACTGTGCGGACACCCGAAACATTTGAATCAGTTAAACGATTGCCAGAAGTCCCTGTGGATCTGGCCAACGGCTTAGCAAAGCACTTGGACTTTCCGCGCCAACAGTGAGGCGAATTTTGCATTAAGATCTTAACATGCATCCGTACAAAATTCAGGTTGTGCAAGCCTAGAATATGGGTGATTTTTGATCTTGCATTACTTTTTGTGAGCATATGCTTAAGCAAAATATGCAAGATGGCCCAGAGCTAATTCACAGCCTATGGATGAGCGATGAGGCTCATTTCCACTTAACGGGATGTCAATAAACAAATTTTTTATATTGGTCGGTCCACAAGCACTTCATGAATGGCCAGTTCACTCTAATAAAGCAACGGTTTGGTGTGCCGTTTCTTCCCTTGACATGAAATGGGGATATTGCCTGGCCCCCTTGATCCTGGCTTGACCTTAGCTCCTGTTTTTTTTTTGTGGCTTGACTAAAAGTTTAAGGAGTTGACTCCGATATTATTTTCAAGACTTGATGCTTGTTTTGTTGGTTCAACACAAACTTCCACTCATTTACTATGTTTTTTAATGAATAAATCGATCTCATGATGTTTGACCTTTTTTTAATACTTACCGAAAAATGGCCCGTTTCACTGACTCACCCTGTATTTAGTACCAAATAATAATATGATAGATAATTAATTGGGTTCATTTATTGAGTGGATAAGCAATGCATCAATACATTATTTATAATATCTTACTAGTACATGATTATGCTAATATCACAGCATGTCTGCCCACCAGAGGTAATTAGTAGCCATAATTATTAGCCATTATTAGTAGGTAATAAGTATTAATTATTTTAGCATGTCTAGATGTTTAATAATAACATCTTTTAAAATTTACTCTGTCCCAATATGTTTAGCTATCTCCCTGGAGCTGTGCCAAACGGCCTCTGATGTTCCAACATCGAGGGCACGCTAATTTTAGTGGATTTATTACCCAGCGTTAAGCCTACTATTTTAGATTCCGGCCCAACACTAGCAATGTAACACCAATAGTACCAAAATACTGACATAGATCATCACCAGGCAAATTTTTAAAAAAATCCCCTATCGTCGACATAGGCTACATACTGACACATACATAACTCATCACTAACGTTCCCACAATAAAATGCTAGCATAATTAGTGCGTACCTGTACCGCACGAATACCCACACCCGGAGTGCCACTATAAACCCTTATAATTCCCGGTAACACGGCTCCAATATCCCTTACCTCATCTATTACGTCTACCGACATCAATCGAAATTTTATAAAAAAATTATGTGTCAATCTTTCGCACAAAATATATGTCTTTGAATCATACACATAGACAAATACTAATTCAGCTATTTTATTTTCAGTAAATATGTGACCTAGGCAATCGTAGTAAAATTGGGTACGAAAGAGATCAAATTCTCTATCTTGAATCCCAGTCATTTTCGCCTCATAATTTAAATACAACTACAAATTTTAATTATCTTAATTAATAACATAATCATTGTCCTGTGGTTTATTGTGTATATGTTAGGATATTTAGGTAATATTTAGCAGAGATAGTCGCTTATGAGATCAAACAAAGTACGAGGCATGTTTTTTAAGTAAGTACCGTTTTTAAATGTCTCCGTTCCAGCACCGCGATTGGCATTTTCGACATTTGCGCTGTGTATGGGCATCTATTGGTAAGACCTAGCCTGGAAATTCTAGAAAAATCGGCCGTGTTTACATCCGGTTTTGAGCATTCAAAATGGTGCCGCCAATTGAGACTGCCGCCTACTGTTAGTGCATGCTGTCATTATATTTTTAAGTACTAAAGGTGTGAAAGCCATTGAATATCATCGACAGATTAGTGAAGTGTATGGCGAGAACATTATGAGTGCCATAATGGTACGCAAGTGGATAAGGTCATTTAAATACGGCCCCACCAACGTTCATGATGAGTAACGCACTGGGCGGCGTCATTACTGTCCCCGGACCCAAGCGTTGCTCATCATGAACGTTGGTGGGGCCGTCTTAAAATGCCCTTACCTACCTGCGTACTATTCCGTCACTCATAATGTTCTCGCCATACATTTTATTGATCTGTCGATTATATTCAATAGCTTTCATACCTTAAGCACTTAAAAATCTAACTGTAGCGCGCACTTCATAGTCGGCGGCAGTCTCAATTGGCGGCACCATTTTGAATGCTCGAAACCGGATGTAAACACGGCCGATTTTTCTCGAATTTCCGGCTAGGTCTTACCAATAGATGCCCATACATAGCGCAAATGTCGAAAATGCCAATCGCAGTGCCGGAACGGAGAAATTAAAAAACGGTACTTACTTAAAAAACATGCCTCGTATTAATTATTTCCATTTGATCATATTGAATTTAACAATTTAAATTTACATGAAAATTTTGATTCATCATTTCACTGTGCATACAGTCGTAGATGTCTAATTGTTTCATTGAGGCGGCGTGTGCCACCGCAGGCGTTATCGCTGCGGGAAGCCGGACAATGATAAGCCTCTGTTTCTGTTGTAACTTTGCTGTTGTAACTTCGTATCAAATATGAATATACTCTAACCATAGAATATTTTAGGGTATTTATTGCGACGAACGTGACCATGAGAACCTATATAGATTTATATATCACTAGAAACTAGATTTTTAGCTGAAAATAATGGTGCAAAAATTTTTCCGCGCTCTCAAATATTAACGGAGTTACGGCTGTTTTAAGTTTTATTTACCGACCAACCGGTACTTTGTTTTTTTGACCTAACCTATTTATAAGCCTATGAAATGTTCCCTCCAGATACTTGATATATTATGTTAATTAATTGTAAGTAATTAAAGTAGAAGACTCACTTTTTACCAGGAAATAACAGTGCAAAAATGTCTCCGAGGCCACGAATATTAACTAAGGTAACTTAAGATAATTTGTCGTTTTGAATTCCTTTATCTACTTTCTATTCTATTCTAGTCTGCTTCTGCTACTGCTTGCCGTTGCCGCATTACGGAATTACGGAACAATGGAACGGACTAACTGTTACTTACTTGTACAACTATACTGAACCTGAAATGAAAATGAAAATACGAAAACGAAATTGAAGAGAAGAGAATAAAAATAAGCCAATCAAGTCATTTCAATTACATATGCTACAAACATCTAAGTGTAGAAACATACAGACAGCGTAGCGTAGCGCAACGTAGCGCAGCGCAGCGTAGCGTATAGGAGCGCAGCGTAGTCCAATACACACAGAGAGCGCAGCGTAGCGTAGCGCAACATAGGTTGTAGACGGTCTTAATAGTGTACCCGGTACATCAGTATAGAAGATGGCTCTGTCGAAGACGGCTCGTATCAGTTTTGTCGAAAATACCTTAAGGTGGCAGTTTTTGATCAGTAGGAGAAGTGTCGAGGTGCATGAAGTGGGGTAGCGGATTTTTATCCCCCTGGAATTTTAGCCCCTGGGCAAACGTGACGTCACAAACCAGGGGGTAAAATTCCGGCCGCGAACTTTTGAGTTTCGCGACATCAACTCGATGGATTAAACGCGGAATTAAACATATATTTTCACGGTTGTGAATTTAATCAGAACACATCAAATTATAAAAACCTAGAGTGTACGGCCCCGTCTTTTTACCCCCCGGAATTTTACCCCCGGAATTTAACCCCCCGGAATTTTTTCCCCGGAATTTTACCCCCTGGCTAGATATAAAAATTAGTGAGAATGATTAATTATCTTCATTTTGTTTTAATTTAATAGTAAACATTTTATTATTAAGTAGCCTATCTTAATTTATTTGTGACATTAACTAATCGAACATGTTTTTAATTTTAATTTTGAGATTCAAGTATTAGGATTTGATCTTTGAAGCCAAATTTTGGTTAATATGACGTATATACAATCAACTGAATGAGATTACAAAATAAATAAATAAAGACAGGCCACTAAATAAAATGAAATGTTTACAATTAATTAAAAACAGAAATAAGAAAACCAATCATTCAATTTATAAAATCGGCCAGGGGGTAAAATTCCGGGGGGGAAAAAATCCGGGGGTAAAATTCCGGGGGGTAAAATTCCGGAGGGTAAAAATCCGGCCCGTACATTTCAGTTGTCTAAACACTAGTTATATGGACAGGGGGTAAAATTCCGGTTTTTATCGCTAATTGAATTAATCACGCTCTGACTATTTTCATTAGACTTCGAAATCCGCGGGGGTAAAATTCCGGCCGCGAACAAACTTTTGGCCCCTCAGGTTACTACGTCATAGTGACGTCAGCTTTGCCCAGGGGGTAAAATTCCAGGGGGATAACATTCCGGCGACCCCATGAAGTGTGTAAAGGCAGGAACAGGCATGGTGAATACATCTTATTTCCAATCCTTAAAAAACACGAGTCTCGGTTTAAGAATTATGCAAGAATGTCGACTACAACGTTCGATCACATATTTAGTTTGGTGAAGGATGATTGAGAGACGCTTACAACTAATTGAAGGGGACCAATTGGTGCAGAAAAGAGACTAGAATTGACTCTTAAGCGTGTCTGCAGTCGAATGCGCTCCAATACGCTCTGAGAAAAACAAAATAGTTTGTTCCTCGGTCGTACGCTGCGCTGCGCTGCGCTACGCTACGCCGAAATACGCTACTAGTATGTCATACCTCATTTCAATGCACGGTTTTGATTTAAAACATGCGCTGCGCTGCGCTACGATACGCTGTCTGTATGTTTTTACACTAAGAAACAACACGGCACTGAATAACTTATTTCAGAATGATTTTATTTAGGCATGTGTGGAAGGCAAGTCGGGCTTATGCGGATTCGTGACTGTATTAAGTGTTTTGAAGTTAGGTTAGATTAGGAAGGTAAAGTGTAGGTTATAGTGAACTGAGTTGATAATTTATATTACACACAGGCAGTTGTTGTGCAATTAAAATAGTGTGTTAAACACAATGAAATAACGATTTCAAAAATGCTGCAAGCATTTTTGAAATCGTTATTTTGTTGTGGTTAACACACTATTTTAATGGCACAACAACTGCCTGTGTGTAATATAAATTATCAACTCAGTTCACTATAACCTACACTTTAACTTACCTAATCTAACCTACCTGGACTTAATGCAGTCACGAATCCGCATAAAGTCCGACTTGCCTTCCACACATGCCTTTTCTGTCATCATACTTATATTTTATGCTACAGCAAGTTTGGTTTGGTTAGGTTAGTTTAGAATAGTTTTATTTTAATATTAATATGTATTCATAGACTAATCAACGTGTTATTTAAGTCAATAACACAATCACTCATCCCCTGGTTATATTACCAAATGTGAAGCACAGTTCATTACTAATATATTCAATAATACTTTACTGTAGTACTCTCTTATAATATTTAACAAAGTGTTATGACACTAGCGCTCAAGTGTCACCAACATGAACTAGACATGGAAAAAACTTCAGATTTTAGAATGGAATGAGAAGTCTAACATTGTTTGTTAGTGTATGTTTAATAGTAGTTGTTAGACTTTAGAAGTATGCCTAGGTAAAAATCCTTATTCTAGGTATATGGTATAAGCATGTATAAGGATTCAAAAGGGCATAAAAGCTACATGGTTAAAGTAACAATGTTGGCCTATTTTGTGGAGTGGATTGGATTACTGGAACTTGGAACTGGATTTTGTCAAATCCATCATGCCCACTAACCATTTCACTTAGCTGCGTACAGATAAGCTATTTTGTTTCCCGAACGTTCTTTATGCTGAAATTAATAAGTTTGCGTTAACCTATTGATTGTTAGTGTGAGTCTAATATTTACTTAAAATCACTTACAATTTACATAAATTTAATAGTTATACAAAGTTTCTGGTGAGGAAATATCGTCAATTGAAATAGGCTAGTCAGTAGACTTACAAAGGTAAATAAAACTTAAAACAGCCGTAACTCCGTTAATAATTTGTGAGAGCGGAAAAATTTTTGCACCGTTATTTTCAGCAAAAAATCTAGTTTCTAGTGATATAAAAATCTAGCCTATATAGGTTCCCATGGTCACGTTCGTCGCAATAATTACCTATTTTAGATATTTGTTTTAACATTGCTATATAGTATAGCTTTAATACTTAAATAAACAAAGAATTCCCCTAAGAGTACCTCCTATAATTGTAAGGGCCAAGGATCATTTAACATATAAACAAAACACATAGTTTCTTTCAAAATTCTTTATTTATAGTAAAAATTAGACCACTTAAATGTGGTCTCACTTTTAGAAAGAGGGGCGAATGTTGTGTATTCACATGGGTTAGTTTATTAATTTAAACAGTTTAATTCTGTTTATATCTGAAGCAGGGAGCTCAGCCAAAAAGTAAATAGTTTTTAATCTTGAGATTTTATAACATTATATTTAGTACCAAATATGGTTTAAGGTAATTCTAAAAACCAGCATTTGCGTCATAAGCCCCCACCACTCTTGAAGTTAGATAGGCCTATAGTCAGTCCTTGTGAACCACCAACTTACATTCAGAATCAATCTTTTCCTCGACCAGAGCACAACTAACTGGTCATGATTCTCCCGCTAATATTAGCAGGTTTGTGGTGATAGGCTAATAGAAGATTTACATTGCCCGACCCTTGGTTCAGTAGTAGGTAGCCCTCTAAATTCTACCCTCTAGTAATGGGGAATTTCTCTGTGATATTAGCATAATCGTGTACTAGTAAGATATTATAATGTATTGATGCATTGCTTATCCACTCAATAAATGAACCCAATTAATTTACGCCCGAGTATTTATTCTGGACACCCCACCCACTAGCGAATATAACAGAAGTAGTAAAGGTGAGCAGTGTGGAGTGTGGGAACTGGAAACTGTTGAGTTGGTGGGCCTATATTCTAATGCTACAGGGTGACTTAAGTTACCCCATGATTACCCTACGTTATAGGGGGACTTGATAATTAAGTTAGGCCTATATAAAACTATCCTAGTACAGTAGTAAACCAATCAAATTGTATTGTAGGCTTACTCACAGTCACAGGTAGACATGCATGAATCTTCCTGACAAGGTTTTGTTTTACACCTTCTACACCAAAAATGTCAATGGAATTGCAGTCTTCCCGAGCGCATATTCTACACATCATGTTTAGTATGTCCTTTCGCGTGGAATGGCTCGATATCATAATTATTAAGGTACCCAAGGATGATGAATGTTCAGGCTATGGTTTCAGATTCCTATCGAAATTACCAGCCTAGGCCTAAGTTACCTACTTCATTTTCATTTTCATCAAGTTTCCAAAACTAAGACTTTTTAAATCACAAAAGTAATAACCACAAAATGTTGTTAACAACAAAATAAGTAAACAAATAGTTTGACTAAGTTAACAAACAATAACAATAACACGAAAATGCACCAGTTGGATGAATGTATACCATGCATGCAATGCACAACTAACTGGAATTTTTTTGGTTTAGTTTTTTGAATTCCATCCATCCAAATATTCCAAATTCCAATTCCAGACATTCCAGATTCCAGCCAATTTAATTCAGTCTAGTGTCTGAGTCCTTTCCGTTATTCGCTCTGTTCTTTCTTCGGTATTTGTTGGCAGGCAAGACTGAAGTGAAATTTGTTTATGCTGATTCGTGTAGTGTGATATTTGTGTTAGTGAAAACTTACTATCGATAGTACTATCGATAGTATCGATAGTTTGAAAATATCGATAGTTGGTCGATAGTATTATACTATCGATGAGACTATCGATAGTTTTTTTTACGTTAAATTAAGTAAAGAAATCATTATCTGGTACTCTTACATTTCATTGTTTGTCTGTTAATGCATACCTATAGTTAATATTATAGACTATTTTTTTTTTAATTCATTGTAGAAAAGCTTTGGTAGACAAGTAGGCTACCTTCTCAAACATTTGAAAGCGGGGGCATTTGCTAATTCACTACCGGACTTATGGGTACATTTGCCTCGTGGGTTTTAGCATACATAGTAGACACCGGTATACGGTATTTTCCTTTGATCTATGGTTTTAGATTGTCATAAATATATATATATATATATATATATATATATATATTATTTATGCTATGTGAGTAAAAAAATATTTTTGTAGTGAATAATAGAAAGAAAATAGTAAGAGAATTTTTCTTTTTTTATTGTTGTAACCCTTAAAAAAACTTATTGTTATTTTATACAAATGTTGTAATATTTTGGAAAAAAAAACATAAAGGGGGCTCCAGGGCGTCACTCATAAATTGTTAAAATTAATAATCTGATACAGCTTTATCTTCGACTAGGTAGAAACCATTGTTTAAACTCATGCAGGCAGGATATATACAATATTATATGCATTAAAATTCCATTTGAGTGACTATCGATAGTACTATCGATAGTATCGATAGTTTTTAAAAAAACTATCGAAAACTATCGATAGTGTGACTATCGATAGTAAGTTTTCACTAATTTGTGTGTTTATAGTGGTTCATAGAGATAAAATACTACTATTAACTGAACTGGGATACAACCAACCGGCGAATTAAGCGTTTTGGTGTTGAATGTAACAAGAAGATCATCAACCGGAAATTATTACACATTAAAGGGAATAAATGTTTTTACGCCACACTACATTATTTTGACGAGCTTCCCACGCAAGGATTTAGTCCAGAAAACAGCTGTTTACCGCCAGCTTATTCAAATGGGGTTTCATTGCGTACTACTGTACTGTAATGAGTTTTACCGGACACCAATCAGCTGATTATACTGTATTTAGGTGGCAATGAATGGTTATAAACAAAAACATAACCTCACTTAGAGGTTATGACTAGTGATTTTTAGTCCTTTAGTTGGTGGAAATATATAAGGATTTGTACAGATTTATTAGTATGGCGTAAACTATCGTACGTAACTCGTCCAAAATGTGTGTACCGGACTCGTATGGTAATCCCGTAAACACTTATTTTCAGGACTAGTAACGTAATATACTATATCAATGATATGTTTCAGACGAGACCTTCCTGAATCCTGACCTGACAGAAACATCCCCCACCACCAAGCCATCAGCCGTGCCGACGAACCCGACGAATGCTTCTTTTGTCGTCTGTCTACATAGAAACGGGAGAGTGGATTCGGAATTGAAATCGGAACGGAGCGCGGATTTCTGTGAGTCAGAGTCTTTCAGTTTCAGGTTTCAGATTCAGATTGACTGTCAAAAACAGAAGTGCTAATGTCAACTTTGCCAAGTCTGAAACACAAGTTACTGTAAACAATGTAATTAATTTAATATATTATCAAAAATCGTATCGTACTAGTTTAATGACAGTAAATTATCATCCAGATTTATCATGCTTATTGTTAATTCCTCTTTAATATTGTAGATGTTAAGTTGGGAACTTTTAGAGTGAACATTTCATTGTCATTATTTAGTTGTTATGGATGGATGGATCAGGCTACTTAAATCCTAAATTTAGAAATTGTCCAATCCCACTTGATTTCATCATAGGTAAGTTAAGTCAACTTATTGTCGAGTTTTGTTAAAATTAAATCAATTAGTTAAGTTAATCAGGCTGGCCTAAAGTTAGGCTACCAATAAATTGTGTTTACAACATGTAGGTATATAGCATAGGTTAGCAGTGGGAAAACTGAAACCGCTGTTGATTTAGCCTAACTACACACTACACTGCTGGAGGGTTCATTCCAACAACAAACCAATTCCATCTAGATAAGTTTTAAGAAAAATGAATTCAAAGTTCAAAAGGAAAAAAAAAACGGTACTTACGTATTAAACGGAGGCCACATTTTGTCAGCGCGCTGCGGCGGTTATGTTAGGTTGGGTTATCATAATAGAAAGTATAACTCGTCTGGTATCGTTCGATTCATAACGAAGTGAGGAAAGTCTTACACACATAATATTTACGACAACCCAACCTAACATAACCGCCGCAGCTTGCTGACAAAATTTGGCCTCCGTTTAATACGTAAGTACCAAAAAAACTTTATTTAACCCTCCAAGTGTCCATAGTTTTGGTCTTAATAGCATGATTCGCCCATTTATTGCGCAATCGCAAGGTTTTATTAAAATGTATCTTAGAAACTTAAAAACAATATAAAGTATACTGCTTTATATATCATTCTGTTTGGAAAATTATGGGCTTCAATGTAACATAGGCCTATAACATTACAAAAAAAATGTTCAACAATTTTTGTGGGGTTAACATTTCTCAAAAATTATAAAATAATTGAAAAAAATTATTTTTGCGCTCAATAAATTGTTATAATTTATAGGTCTGCAAATATTTTAAAATAGCCACTTTGTTCAGAATTTTATGAGGATTCCAAAAGTATAATAATATAAGGAGTAGGTTTGCAAATAAATAAGTTATGGGCAAAAAACAGATTTCGGTACATAACGTTTAGCTAAGAATGCATACCGGTAGCCTAACCATAGCTAGGAATCTGGCTGATAATTTACATCAATATCACAGTTCCTACTTCTTCAGGATCATCAACCAGCCCTTCAAAATCTCTTAAATCTTCTTATAATGCACCACGTATATCAATACTTGTGATTTTTAACACTAAAACAATGATAAACGTAATAAAACACATCAGTCATCGGTGCGAGGTTAACCAAGTTGTTTAGAATAGCGTCTAGAAACAGACATCAGGAGAAAGCTCAGAATATGCCGAAAACAACAGAACGATGTATACAGTTCTCGATCCAGTTCAATCTGATTTAGTCAGTCCCAGAGCCTTTGCCGTAAACGATGTTTGTGGGTCGCAAAAGCGACGCACAACACCAGGCGGGTGTGTTGTGCGTCGATTACGCAACGCTTAACCCTCGGAGGGTTAAATTTTTTTGTTACCGGTAGGCCCTAACTTAAATAATTCTAAAAAGGTGTAATAACTTACAAAGTATGAATATAATGCTGCTCTACAAAAAAAAACCTTATCAAATCGCTAAAACTAAAAATTTAAAGGGTAGGCTTTGCCAAACGGGTGTTTAGCCTCAGTGCGCAAGAACATACTGTATGATATCAGATCCCCCATATTATAAAGGCGTAGGCTCACCACATCGGAGCCTTTCTTGGGTTTCCTGGCAGCTTGTGTCAGGAGCCTAACCCGAGGATGCCGTTATATGCCTGTGCATTGACACCAACTCCCAAGGAGCCCCAGGCGGGATTCGAATCCGTAGTGATCGGATGAGTCGCTTTAGCGAAAGCGACTTAACCAACTAAGCTACTGAGGCTGGTAGCAATGAGAAAGACGGTGTTTTTAAGCGCTGAGTTTCTGTAAGTAGTGCGCCAGAGAAGCTTGAAACTACTAAGTAACTTAAAACCACTGACAAGACCGTGAGATTAGTGATCTAGCGCGTATCTAGTAGCAAAATCAAGAATTATGGACTTTGTTTGTTGTGGCACTGAAAGAAAATGAGTTTAAACTTAGATATTTTTTACTATAACTACATGTCAAAATCGGTAAAAAGTGGTCTGATGTTGCTCTGAACCCTCTGAAGGTAAGTTAAAATCTTTTTTAAATCCTCAATGGAAGGCTGCCACTGTCTGTAATATAAATCTGTGAGTCTTGTCTGTTAGGAGATGGCAAAGAGGAGTCAGACCAGCTGAGGTCGGATTAGTGTATTTATTCTGTATCCACTGTAAAAAAAAAAACTCTAAACCGACGTCTCCAAAAACTCGTTAAAACGGACCATTTACTGTGATATTCGACTTAAATTTAGGAGAACATTGTATTTAAGCACGTGATCTGGTCTCAAATCTTTCCCACGAGAACAGTCGTTTCAGTACCGCCCACTTCCTGCCGTTCTAGTCCAGGTAAACCAATGTGCTGATAATAATTGTCCGGTTAAAGATAAGACATTTCCGCTGAGTTTAGTCCGGTTAAACCGATGTCCGGTTAAAAGGTGTCTGAATAAGAGGGAGTCTACTGTAATATCAACAGCTGTTTACCCTCATCATTACCTCTCCTTTTCAAGTGTTAGGCCTTGTTGTTGTTTTTACAAGTTGGGTAGAATATAGTTCCACAGAGAACCTGATATTTATTATTGGATGAAATTTTAATTTGATGTACATATCTATTATAATATTTCTATATATATTGAATTGAATGTAGCCATGTAGCCGATCACTTTAGCCGATGTAGCCGATTGTTTGGACAGAAGGAAAGGATTAGGATGCCAATATTAAAGCTAAAATCTCACAACATAATTTAGTCATCATTGCCTAATAATATATAT